ACATGATTCACATGATTCACATGAAAATACTCCAATGTATCGCTCTGATTTCTTTGATATGAGATACTTTGATATCGACAACATGAACAATAAAAAGTAACTTTTTCATCTAACAATCAGCACAGCACACGATCGTCGTACGTTACTATAAAAGCAAGGCATTTTGTTCGCGATACTTTTTCAGTTTACGCTTAGTGCGGTCGTAGCTGTGAAGTTGGCAAGTTCGGAGGTTGAAGTTTTGTCTGTTTTTTTTAAAGTTGTGTGATTACGACACACCGCCAGTTTATATAGCGAAAGGTGTGTAAATAAAACAGAAATTGTGTACAATAATAACAATAATACAAAGATACACTGTTACTTAAACATACCAATTCATACCAATTCGTATTGAATTTTCAATAGTTTGTATCTAAATATTGAATGGTGTTAAAATTACGAAATGGTAAAAAAGAAAACCGAAAGTTAAACGTACAATTTTTGCAATAAATATTTTGGCTAAGCTTAAAAGTAAAGTAGTCTAACGCTACGAATATATCCGTATAGCATATATGTATGTCTTTATGAAAAATGATTTATTTTAAACTTTTAAAACTTTTTTAAAGAATTATTTAAAAAAATATATATATAATAAAAACACGTTCTAAAAACAGGCTTTAAAAAAAATAATAAAATTATATTTTTGATATACAATAATTCATAAACTTAAAAGACGAAAAGAAATGTCAAAGTGTATTTATTGTATGTATAAACGTAATGCAAATCATTACTGGTTTCTTTACTCAACTGGAATTTAAATATCTGAGCATAAATTATATCTCATAACAAAAATAAATAATGAAAAAATTAAAAAGAATTTAACATATGTATTTAAAGTACACTGAGGCGTCCATTATATCAAGAACAACCAAAAATTAAAAAAAAAATCATGCAGTAGCTATATAGCATTGTATATATGTATAGAATAACAGTACTTTGGCAATTTTAATAGTTATCAGCACAACGACTTGTGATATGTCATAATTTTTCAAGTAATTCATTTGAAAAACAAAATTTTTTTTTGTTATTAAAGACTTTTTGTAAACAAATAAAAAACTATTTATTAGTTTTATATTTTTATTTAATTAGTTGTATTTGTTAGTTATTGTATTTAATAACACATACCATATATTGCAATTCGAAATTCGAAAATATTGCAATGACTCCGAAATTATTACTAATTCGATAAAAATTCGAAGTACTGACATTATTTTTATGCTAGTTACTAACTATAAAGTCATAGGACACACCTAGACCAGGAGCTTAATGTTGTATCATAGGATATTTGTTAACTTCTAATCCATATCTGATAAACTATCTGGTTTCAGTAACAAATCTTTAAAGTGCAATTAGGTCAAACATAACAAACCCAGCTAATAGTCTGTTACTGGGACTGGGTACAAACTGTCGGAAAAAAAAATTTAAAATAAATTATCACAGCCATTATACTAAATAATTTCCTAAAAGCACAAAGGTCATCAAATCAGGAAACTGGTTTTATTGCTGCATACAACTGGCTGCATATATACAAAATCATTACTTTCCCATCGATATATACAAACTAAGAGCGGCCATTACACCATGGGCACCCTTTTCATTATGAAATATTATAAAGTATTATTCGGTCGATTATTTCAGGAGAGGGGGGAAAATGCATTGCCTTATAAACCCATGCATTTAATTCTGTAAACTACAATATATTTCCTATATATCTATGTCATCAATATAATATATCAATATAAACAATAAATTTTACTTAGAGTTTTAAATTTTTAATTTCAGATTCTAAGTTTTCGTTTAATAAAGATTAAATTAGTTTTAAATTAAATAAAAAATTAATAAATAACTATTTAAGTGAAATTATCGAAACCATAGCACGACTGATTATTTATAGTGACAAATATAATTTTATTTATTACTTAGTATTAGAGAAATTCATTATTAATGAATATAAATTTGAGGGTCAGTTAACGATTAAGCCCTTAAGTAATTTTTTATTTAAATTAAATTTAAATCGAATACTTTTTGTAAATAAGTAGTTTTGTTTAAATATAATTGAAATTTTGAAATTAAATCAACAACGCAAAGAGTATCTTTTATTGTTAATTAATTTTTAATTAATTAACAGTTTTATTTACTCTACCAGCAAAAAACAATTACAAGAAATTTAAATTTAGATAAATTTGATAAATTTGTTTTTAAACAAGCACATAATTAGTAACGACAATTCAACTTTGAGATTAGATTTTTGGAAAAATTGCGCTACAGCCAGTAATTACGGTTTGTTAACATTTTTAGAAATATTATGATTTTTGATTAAAATGTTATTCTTTAAACAATTTAAATAGTCTGCAAGAATACATATTGTATACAAATATGTGCAATATGTAAATAAATAAAAAATTAAATGAAAAAATAAAGTTAACTATTTTGTAATCACTTTTATAATTTCTTATGGTCGATTTCTGTTAACGTACATGGAATTTTATATAATTTAAATATTAACTTAAATTGAGGTGGAATTCGGGACAGATCAGTAGATCATCTAGACTGAACTAATATTATTTAAATCTACAACTATCATGTTTACAACAAACATAACACCATAAAAAAATTGCAATACGTTTTTCGATAAATGAACATATATAACTTTTCTTTGTAAACAGATATAACTTCAATACTCTTGCTCTATATCTGTTATGAAATTTATTGCCCGGTTAATTTTATGTGGCAAGTGTTATACTACACATAAAAACTATGTCGCTATTATATGAACTGTATGAGTAAAACCCATATCTCTATTTATAATAAAGTAATATGAAGGGCTGGAAAATAGCTTTAATGTTTGAATAGTTTAAATTTAGAATTATAAATGTGTGGAGATTTTAGACCTCTTACGATAATTAAAATTTTTTGTGGAGAAAATGCTTTATTGAGTACTCTTTTGAAGCGGATATGACGTTAATACCCCTTCTTTTTTAAAATTAATGATCAAGGTTATTTTATATAGTATATTTCGCCGGTCAAAATTGTGTTTTAGTTTAGCAAGAGTTACACAAATATGTATGTATAAATTAATAACAAATATGTATATTATTATTAATAATTAAATATTATTATTCAAAAAACTTGATGTATTACCGATCAGCAACACAATTTTGTTTTTGACAATTATCTGTTTTTATTCATTATCACCATTTTGTTAATAATTACGAGGCTGGCTTGCTGATACAAATTTTGTTGTTGCTATATTTTATATTTTTAATACCTGGACACTTTCTCCATTATATCCATGTCTAGTTTACTGATTTAGAATGAGCACGACATTCTACACTCGTCAGCTATATTAGAACCTCCAATTTTGGCTTTATGGTTGTTTACTCATATAGTTGTAATAGTAGAGAACTTTATCTTCATGGCTAACTGAGGAAATTTGGAAATATTCGAATTCTAATAGCTGAAAACTTCCTCTCCAATATCTTTATTTTTAGTTTGCTAATCTGCATCAGAACCTTTCATACAGTTTTTGTTGCTTTTTAAAGATCGAAAATTTATTTCGAATTTGCTAGTTGATTGGACACCAAAGTTTTGACACCTACCGAAATAACTTTTAAACCGTGTGATTTTAGTATAGATACATACATACATATTTTAAAATATGTTAATCTATTAAATCATATGTTTCGCTTCTGTTTTGACCAGTTAGCATTTTTGAACCCACATTTCGGATTTACGTATTTCACATTAATCAAAAAAATGCGTACACCGGTATCTGATTCAGAGAATTATTTTTAAAATAATTGTATAGTTTTCGTATATTGATGTGCATTTAATCGAAAAAAAAACAAATTTCTGAAATTGTTGATAATGAAAAAAGTATTAAAAAATATTTTATTAAAAACTTTTTTATCAATGTGTACAATGTTAAAATTGCAATTTTAAGTTCTATAACTTTATATTAAGGTTTTACTGTAGTTGAGAATATATTTTTTTTTTTGCAATTCAGAGATAAAAAATTATGTTATCCTCCTATTTGAGAATAATGTCCTTCAATACAAAATCAAGGAGAAAGTGTAACATGTTTAAATTAAAAAGAATATAAATTAACGTAATTTAATACTGCTAAGGACCCAAGCTGTGTGATACTTATTATTAATAAGTTAAATCTAATGTATTTATTTATACATAGATTATATTAATAACAGGAACTTGGGATCCCAACGGAGCAGAGCATTGTAACTATAGAGGAATTGTTGTGGTACTTGTGTAATAATTTATAAGTGTAACTGTGAAATTAATTCTGGTGATTGACGTTGCTGTACTTAAATTTAACATATGTAAATAAATAAATAATAATAAATTAGCAAATTTTTATTATAAATAATCAACTAAAGTTAATTTAAACCGAATTGAATAAAATAATTATAATATTAACAATAAATGAATTATAAAGTCAGTTATTTGTTTTAGTATGGTATATCGTAAAAATTAAAATTTATGATATATTAACTTTACTATATAAATTTTTTTAACAATATTAGGCTATATTAGTTCCTAAATAACGAAATCATTTTAAAAATTTTTAATCTAATATTTGTTTTTTTTTTTGATTTTACAAGTAATATTATTCAAGTTTTAAGTACAGTCTGTGTTTGAATTTCTTAGTTCTAAGAACTTATTGTCTATTGTTTGTAAAAAATAAAATAAAAATTTATATAAAAAACCACAATCATCCATTTACGCAAACACAAAGTCGTGTTGATTATTATATTAAGAAGTGTTTACAAATATGTATCAAATACTTTGTCTCTTCCGTTTCTGTCTACAAATATATACTACGATCTAGTTATGAATAATTATTTATTCTGCACAAATATATTTTTGAAAAAATAACAGCTTTTATTTGATTATTTTTGTTTTCTCTTTCACGTTTCAGATATATACAAAACAACATAATTAAAATATAAATATAAATTTAAATTCAAGTACAAGATGTGCGGTAAGTCTTACAAACGAACTTTTAAATACTTTTAAATACTTAGGAAACTAGCCAAATATGTTTAACTGGATTTTATAGAATTAGAAGAAAAATCAAAACTTAAACCAAAGTTAGAAACCTTTCTTTGGGAATAGTATAACAGACCATTTTGCTTGCAGTATAAAACCACTTTTTCAATTAATTAATAATATAAGCTATATAAGCTATATTTGCTTATAAATAAACTTAACTTTTGACCAATTTTAATTGGAAGCGTTTCTTCAGAGGTAATACACCATATCTAGTTCAATAAACAATTATAAAAATAATAGTAATATAGAATTGCATTGTTGTGGCAAAAGAATAAGAACATAAAATTGTATTATTTCTTTATTATAAGGAGCTCTTTAAGAACCTTGTTTACGCTTGCACAATACATCTGCAATATATGTATCTGCGTTTACAGAATCGATGACAGATTCGTCCCTTGAATCCCTTGAATCATATTACAGATGACTGTAATATTTTTAATAAAAATTATTATGATATTACTTAAATTATTTTGTTTGTGTCAGGTAACCTGTTGAATATTTTTGGATATATGTTCACTGTATATCACTGTAATTTATTAATACTAGAGTTGTTAGTACTAGAGTTGAGCATGATAGAATATATAGTGGCAATTATGAACTAAAATAATTAATCGGAAAAAGATATGAAATTGTGTGACGCAACATCAAAGGTCTATGTTTTTGACTCAGTAGTTGACAGTCTCACATGAAATGTAGCATCCCTTATGTTGTTGTAAATAAAAAATACATATATAACATATTAGATGTAAATTCCCCGTAATCACTCGTCTCAAAGGAAACGTAGCTTTCTTAGGTCCTAATTCTGTTGCTCTAAGAAAATGAGTAGTATAGAGAATGTAAGGGAATCAGGACAAATAATAGTTTTATGTTAAATGTCCCGGGAAATATACGTCTGTCTATTTTTAAAGTATACATATTTATATTATATATAGATCTTTGAAAACTGGTGGAAGATATGTTTTTTATGTAGCACGACGAAACAAAGCATTTTTAAAACATCAGATAGATATTCATATATCTGTCCATGTTTATCTTTATTTTTAGCTATTAGTTGATAAACTAGGTTTTCAGTTTGTAATAGAAATCAGATCAAACTTCGCACTTTTTATGAATCCATAAATTTCCTGAAGCCAAAACCTGTCTTTTATTTTGATTTTGAGCAAATATAATTTTTTATTATCTCACGGTTACAATATCAGGATATTTTATAATTTCATATTTTACTAAGATGCAAATATAATAATTGACAGGAATTTTCGCTTATATAAATTATCTAACACCAAAAACTCGGCATGAGGTACTTGATTTATTGGTCAATGGCTTGAAACGGTTGGAGTATCGTGGATATGACTCCACTGGTGTGGCAATTGACGCAACAAATACTAAGGATATTGTAATGCTTAAAAGTGTTGGTAAAGTCAAAGTTCTTGAAGATAGTATTGCTGAGAGTGAGTAATTTATAAATTATTATCGAACGAATATGTGTTAAAAATTTGAATAATTTAGATTTAAGTGGAAAAGAGTTCGATGAGCCCGTGTTAATACACTGCGGTATTGCCCACACTCGTTGGGCTACTCATGGTGTACCTTGTGAGAAGAATTCCCATCCTCAACGATCGGACAATGATAATAGCTTTATTGTTGTACACAATGGCATTATAACCAATTACAAGGATGTTAAAACATTTTTAGAGAAACGCGGTTTTGTATTTGAATCTGATACAGACACAGAAGTAATTGCTAAATTGGTGCATCATTTATGGAAAATGCATCCAGGATATTCATTTAGAGAACTTGTTGAGCAAGCGATTCAGCAACTGGTAATTTAAACTCAAAATATAATATAAATAATACATATTTAAATAAGAGTAGCATTCTTAACATATAACTTTTTTACCGAACCTAACTTATCTAGTAAAGTTATTACCTACTTTTTACTCAAATAATTAATATCAATCAATCTGTTAACAGGAAGGTGCATTTGCTGTCGCAATAAAATCCAGACATTTCCCTGGTGAATGTGTAGCTTCAAGACGTGGATCACCACTACTTGTAGGAATTAAGACTAAAACTAGGCTGGCTACTGATCATATCCCAATTTTATATGGCAAAGGTAAGAATAATCTTAGAGCAAAGTTCTTTATATAATAATAGGAAAATCTTCTATATCTGTCAGTGCAATGATATATAATAAATCATTTTTTTATTTAAACTGCAAATATAGTAAAATTAATTCAGTTCAACTACGTTATGATATTACGGAAAGCATATAAATGAAAAACGAAAATATCTAAGTATGATAAGTAGTTGTATACTTTTAAATATTTTCTTGCAGTTTATTATATCAATATACAAGTCCGCAAATAGATAGAGGAAGTTTATACAGCAAAATTAAAATACCAATATTTTTTTAAAATTTCTTAAAATATAATTAATTATTTGTACAGGTCTTTATAATACAAGTATTTCAGATAGCATATAAATACCTCTTTTCGATTTATTTCTTTTTCAAATATCGTTCTTCTAATAAAATTATTTATAAGCTAAGACGGTGTATGCCAAGGAAACCCATTTTTTAACTACCTATTGAATATTTGTTCATTTAGGACTTAGAATCTTAAGAACTTTAATCTTAATTATATTTTACATTTTTTATTCTAATTTTTATTTATTTTTATGCACATTAAAAAATCATTTATTATATGTTTTGTTTTATATTATTTGATTGTTTTTTATGTACTTTAACTTTTCATTCTATCTGTGCTAAATCTATATTTCCTGACGAATCTATTTGTTAATACTTCTAATCATCTATGTATATCTGTCTACACGGTCCTACGCTCATCATCCTTCCTTTATCGATGACGTTTAGATGATAAAAGTCCTCCAATTGAAAAAGGTAGTTTGTCTCTTTTAAAAATATATGTACCCATTTCACTTTACTAAATTCATTAATATGGGATAATGGTTTATAATATCGACAAAAATATTATAACATCTTATAAGGTATGGTTACGGAGAACAAAATTTAAAATTGAATTTAATACTTAAAAAAATTTATAAAAATTTTCGTAAATATTATAATATTATATCAATAACACATCAATAATAATAATTAAATTTGATAATTTAAATAATATCTAAACAGTGTTTTCAATTCCTATTTCTTATTTTTATTTTCTTTCAATCGAACCGCGTCGTCTGAATAGATACTGACTCAGCCAAACCACAAGGTAAATTTCCTAAACTAACTTTACTTATTCAATATTATGAATTTTGTAATAAACATTGGTTATGGCCAGCTTTTTTATGTATGTAAAAAGGTGTTATATATATACTTTACAGGCTTGTAATTAACTATTCTTACATTTGAACAAATGTATCTCTCTACAAAATAAGACCAACTAACCATTTCCAAACTCATTAAATTGCTTTCATTATTTAATGTTCGAATTATTAAATATTACACATTAACATATATATCAATAATACACAGTTTATCAAGACAAATTTTACAAATTTTAAAAATATCTCCAATATTATCCAACTTTGAATTGAAAAATAACATTAAGTATAGTTTTTCATTGATTTACTTTTAATTATTATAATTAGAGGAGCTACCGTATCTACTTATAATATCTATTCTCAATTGCTATAAGTTCTCGCTAAACTAGATGGCTGTTTCTTTTCTTGCTCTAGGGATTCTTGTCGAGATTTGATTGTTATTTTCTATCTCTCCACAAAGAAAATCCATGCCATCCATATTTACTCTGTTATATCTTACAGATGTTCATAGTTATTATTCTCATTCATTAGACTCCTAACAGTTTTCTCAAGCAGCGGTTTCCGAATGTTTATAGTTTTCCAAGACCTTTGGATATTTCATGTTGGTTCTAATATCCATCTAAACGGATTAAGATAATCTTAAATTTCGAGTAAAATTGGAAAAAAGTTAGAAATTCAATATATATTAAATTCGTTCATTGCCAATGTTAAAGTTATTAAAGTTACTTAAGTTGAGGTTTCATAATTTTATTTTTTAAAGATTTCAAGTTTTGAAGTTCTATAATTTATTAGAAAAATTGGAGCTCATGTGATAAAGAAGACATAAGAATCAACATGTGATTTGGTCGAGTAAGAATATTTTGACGTGAGATTTAGTTATATATAAACCAAATATTTTTTACTAAGTGTATGTTGGCAAAATATGCCATTATTCTTACATAAACCAAATAATAACGGGTGTTTAGAAATTTTATGTCCTATGATCGATTTTTATGTCCTAAGTAGAGATAGGATACATCACTGAGATTGAAAACATGTGCAACATTCGCCATTTTGAGGCACTTTATAGATAAAGTTACGTTACAAAATTTTAATAACGAAATTAAAACAACAAAATTGTCCTAACTGTTCTAAATTTCGATAGTTGTTAAGAAGTTTCGCTGATTTGAAATCCTTGAAATAGTAACAAATTTTTTTTCAGGTTGGAACCACAAACTATACCTTTTTTTGTCAAGTGTATACCTATCCCTTCTTGAACTTTAAAGTGTTTCTGTGCTTCTATGGTATATTTTTGGTAAACGTTCCTTTAATATCTTGTACATACAATACGATTGCACTCCTGTTATGGTTATTTTGTATCTGTTAAAGTATTCTATATATCTCTATATCCGTATGTATCTTGTGTCTTTCGGAAAATTTTTAATAAACTGATTAAGTTTAAGAGTTCTTGCCCAAAAGAATTTTTTAACACTTGTATTAACAAATATAAATTAAGTTATTTAATTTTGAATTTGTTTATGTATAAAATAAACAATAAAACTAAAAATATGACAATTGATTTTTCTACCCAGAACTTCAGGGTTGAGAGTTTGACCATTTCGGTTATTGTCATCATTTTAATTTCTTGTCAGTACTCTTAAATTTTAATAATATATTGTATAACAACTCATGTATAAAGAAATCAGTTTGCTTTTAATAATGAAATCTCATTGAAATGTAATGACAAATAAATAAAAAATTATTTTTTTAATTAGTTTTAGTTCAGCTTTTGACAGATTTTATTTATTCTTCATATGTCGCTATTTCTAAATTTTGTCATATTTAATTTAATAAATACATTAAAATATTTATAATTCCAATATTCTGCAATTATGCATCGTACAAGGTAAATTAAAAATCTTTTTCGAATAGGTGAATGCTTGCAACTAAAAGTAAGTGCTGCGTATGTAGGAAAACTAGAGGGTGTAACATTGATATAAATAAGCAAATAAATAATTAAATAACTTATAAAACAATTAATTACACATAGTACAGGTGTTAAAAGTAATGTTTTTTGCAATTTTTGTATAATACAGTTCTTAACACAAACCCAAAAAATATACTAATTGCCGTTATCAAAACGGAATTACGGTAAATTCACCTTCAGTGTAATATAAAATTATTTGCAACTAGTAAAATGATTTACCACAAGCAATCAATAATATTTATTGCATCTCAAAATTGAGTTTGTTGTTCTACATCCGTAAATGTACTCTATTTTGATATGTAAGAGATATTTGACATGAAATGTACTTTGTTGTAGTTTGCTGTAACAGGAAATATTACTAAAATATGTAAGTTAAAATAAAAATTTATATTGTTGACATATTTATTAAAGTTGCATAGACTGACCTGCATTTCGTATTTCGTACAATATAGATATAGATATATGTACAATGCATATATCATATGCAAGTGTGAAGTGGCATAATTGCATTATACAAGTATATCAATGCTTTTCCTTCTGCTTTTCAGTGCAGTATTTTATTTTGTTATTTTGAACCAATTGAAACTTAACCAAATTAGATATCGGAAATTTTAATGTTTTTCAATAACTTATCCAAATATTTCGGAATCTTATGAATAAATTAAAACTACTTCATTTTAACATGATCCTTTTTAAGACCAAGCAATAATCAAAAATAAAAACATCTATTTACTAAGTCATAAGTGTTTTTCGAGTGTTTATTTGTAGTTTTGATAAATGAAATTTTAGTAAAGAAATCATGGAGTTTGCAGTAGACATGTTAATAAATCGAATTTAAACTCTAAAATAACTCTTACTTTCGAATCAAATTGTAAACAACAAAACAAAAAAAAAAAAAAGAAATAAGTTATGAATAAATGTATATAATTAGAAGAAGCAATTATCGAATTGAGTAGTTAAGATAACAAGGAAACTAAATAAGTACGAAGATAAAATGAAAGATGGTCCCTACAGATCATATATTCCTAAAAGAATTAATTTTCCATAGACTTGCGCACAAAACTAAAATGAGGAGAAAGTAGCAAAGGGCAAGTGTTAGGACTCATGACTACAATTAAGGGCGCGCTGATATACTGATACACTATACTGTCTTTTTCTATACAAGTTCACATGCGTTTGTACTATAAATTACGATGTTTTAATAGAAGGAATAGACTTACGTTCACATGCGTTTGTAAATTACGATGTTTTAATAGAAGGAATAGACTTAATATTTAAACTTGCTTTCAAAAGTATAATATATAAAGATATAGGGTACTACCTATCTATCTGCGTACTTCCATACAACACAACATTAGCATTTAGCAATACGTCGGGCAAATAGTAAACAATAGGTATAAATATGGAAGAAGGTTTACAAATTAATTTCATAACTGATTCACTTACACAAATAAAATTCAACATTTTGTATTTCTACATAGAATTCCAAGTATATAGTAACATGAAAGTCAAAATAGTCAATATTCTATACTATATAATAATCTATAATATATAATTATACTGTATGTTAAGCCTTTTCCAAATTTGTGCATCTATGAACTTTTACCCTTTGATAGCTGGAGGGTTTCTCCAGAGGCCCTTCCTTCTCTTTGACTAATTCAAGTATTCCTCACAAGCTTCGCTGTTTATTTGAAGACTGATCTAAGATCTGCGTACCGATGTGTTTTTGAAAAACAATATTTACAAAAAGTTAGTGTACGTAATTATAAAAATTAATATGCTTTCTTCTGGCACTATTGTAAGAAAAAAAATTTAAATCGTTTAAAACAACACGCACTTCAACGACATTTAATCTATTGTAATTTATTTAAATATAACGTACTATCAATTTAATCATCCCTAATTCTACTTTTGTCTTTGATTTCGTTATTATTTAATTTATATATATACTTAGGACTGAATTTATGTACTTATAATTATACCATATATTATATTCATCGCTCTTATAAATTTTATAGACTAAATATTTTTTAACTAATGAATGCGAAGGTTTTGGACATTTTCCATTGTTAATAATAATATTACATCTTTGAATATAACATAATTATTTGGTGCTGCAAGTAAACGTAGAATAGTTTGAGAAAATGCAATTTATTAAGTACCTTTACTTCAATTTCCAATAAAACCACTACCATAAATCGTACAACAACAATTGGCAAACACTTTTTTGATGCGATCGGTAATGACATTCATACTCGTATATCGATATTTTATACGATATCACTCGTATATATGAAATTTGCATTTAAATTATTTGAATTGTACATAAATTTGCGCGATCTCACAAACGCTTGCACTTACTCATTTATAAATGAAATGCAAATTATTAATCGAAAAGAACATCGTCCACATGGACAAACTCGTGAATTGCCAGTGTTACCACGTTCTGAAAGTACATCCGAGTTCATGCCATTGGAAGAAAAGGAAGTCGAATATTTCTTTGCGTCTGATGCATCTGCTGTTATTGAACACACTAATCGTGTCATATATTTGGAAGTAATTAGTTTATATATTTTAATCAAAACGATTCGTTTTTAATATTTACTTATTTCATACAGGATGACGATGTAGCTGCTGTACGTGATGGAGCTTTAAGCATTCATCGATTAAAAAAATGCACAGATGATCCACATGCACGTGAAATTACAACTTTGAAAATGGAAATTCAACAAATCATGAAAGGCAACTACGACTACTTCATGTTAAAGGAAATTTTTGAACAACCCGAGTCTGTAGTAAATACCATGCGTGGACGTGTACGTTTTGAATCAAATAGCATAGTTTTGGGTGGTATTAAGGATTATATACCTGAAATTAAACGTTGCCGCCGTTTGATGCTCATTGGTTGCGGTACTTCTTATCATAGTGCTGTAGCCACACGTCAATTGCTTGAGGAACTGACTGAGTTACCTGTTATGGTTGAATTGGCTTCTGACTTTCTTGATCGCAACACTCCCATTTTCCGTGACGATGTTTGCTTCTTCATATCACAATCTGGAGAAACTGCTGACACTCTAATGGCTCTGCGTTACTGTAAGCAGCGTGGTGCTTTAATTGTTGGCATAACCAACACAGTGGGCAGCAGTATATGTCGTGAATCACATTGCGGTGTACACATTAATGCTGGCCCAGAAATTGGTGTAGCTTCAACGAAGGCATACACATCTCAATTCATATCTCTCGTTATGTTTGCGTTGGTTATGTCCGAAGACAGATTATCCCTACAACAACGTCGCTTAGAAATATTGCAAGGCTTATCTACACTAGCTGATCAGATTCGAGAAGTTCTAAAATTGGATCTCAAAGTTCAGGAATTAGCTAAAGACTTATATCAACACAAATCTCTTTTAATAATGGGTCGTGGTTACAATTTTGCTACATGTCTCGAAGGTGCATTGGTAAGTAATGTTTTCTTAGTGTTTCAAGTTAATAGAAAATAAAAATTTTAATATATTATCAACAGAAAGTGAAGGAACTTACTTATATGCATAGCGAAGGTATTATGGCTGGCGAATTGAAACATGGTCCATTAGCTCTTGTCGATGACTCTATGCCTGTACTAATGATAGTTCTACGCGATCCAGTATATATCAAATGTATGAATGCACTTCAACAAGTTACATCACGCAAGGGTTGTCCAATTATTATATGCGAGGAAGGAGATGAAGAAACAAAATCATTTTCTTCTCGCAGCTTGGAAATTCCACGTACCGTTGACTGCCTTCAAGGTATACTCACTGTTATTCCAATGCAGCTCCTGTCTTACCATATAGCTGTTTTGCGCGGTTGTGATGTCGATTGTCCAAGAAATTTGGCAAAATCAGTTACTGTAGAATAAATTGACTGTACATAATCATATATATTTTATAAACATATATTATTATTATTTTTTTATTATACAAAATAAATTTTATATTATTTTGGTTTACTTTGAAATATTTCACAGCAAGCATTTCTTATGCATTAATCGGTTTTCGCATAAACACATAAGATTTAATCTGTATTTTATTACATATTTTTATTGGAACATATATCACAATGTATAATTTACAATAAAAACAGACAATAGTTTCTTCACTTTAAATTGATTTTTATATGAACTATAAAATATTTAATAAGAAAGCTGTTAACTGCGAGATTTCATTAGTAAGAATAATACAACACGGTTAATACGATTGTAAATTTATTGGCTTTATATCTTATTATTTGGCTTTATATCTTATATGCAGCATTCTAAATGATTATTTCCTTAAAAGCACTGATATGAAATAATATTATCTGCCTTTCACGAGTGTTGAGATATGACTAAAATTATAAAGATGGTAAAAAATATGTTTATGAATCGGAAGTACAATTTATTATACAAGATTCCATTAGTAAGAATAATAAAACACGATCAACAGGATTGTAAATGTATTAACTTAATGGATTTATATCAAAATAGCTACTTTCTAAATAATTACTTTCTTAGCAGCATTGCCATTATAGGTGTAAAGGCAAAAACGTGGAAACTTTCTTAAAGACAATACTTTGGATGAATTTAATTAATTTCAATTATATTGCAACGTGTTATGAACTTTTTACTAATCACTACAGAAGGAAACAGGTATCTTAAGTGAAGAATAAATAACATCAAAAAATTAGATTTTTTAAGTTTAAATGTGTCTTCAGACTTAAAATATTCACGCTGGATTTGCTTATTTTTAGCTAAAGAAAGACAAAAATTGATTTACAGATTTAGAATTCAGGTTTGAAAAAATGAAGGCTTTGTTGTGGTAGTATTATATGTAAAATAAAAGTATTTGTTGTTAGTTAGTTGAAATGGAGAGAGGAACGAATCCTTCTCAATTGGTTAAGATTCCACAAATCGTTTTGAATCCACAAATCCTCGTAATAATGAATAGAAGGTCAAGCTAGAACCAGCCAGAAGCATTTATAAAGGCAAGAGTCTGGCCAATGCTTATGTTGGAGATATCACTGAGTCTGTTAAAGAAGGGAACCCTTAAAAACTTAAGCCTAATTCTGGTCAAGCCTGAACAAAGATACAACAGGTGTACTGGTGTCCTTTCCTCTAGGGCCGGCAGACACGCATTGCAGGAGATATTACAGGGTAGACCAAGCCTAGCTCCATAACGTCCTATAGTCCACTGCCCTGTAAAGAGAGATATTAACGTGAATTCCTCTGATTTACTTCAGTGTATCAAGTCATAGGTTCTACATTTGGAATAGATTGATCATGCACTATTTGCCTGCCGCAAAAAGTGGTCATAAATCAACATCCGACTGTAGCTGACAGGGGCAAGGATTGAAATAGGGACATCAGTAGTATTTGCTCTATGTTATGCATTATATTTCAGTTTTATTATTAAATAAAATCTAGTTAATTTTCCTACTGTTAAAGTTCTGTGAATATACTTTCGGCAGATTCTTTGGAAATTTGTCATCGAATACCTCATACCCACAAATAGAGATTATCATTATTTTCTTTATATTAGATAACATAGATATGATATTTTTGATGTGTCTTTATAATGTTTTCTAAGTCATTCTTCGGTAGATACAATTTATATATGCTGGTAGTTAATATCATAGTCTAGTAGTCGTACAGCATAATTGACAGTATTTCCAATTAAAACTGGAATTATGTTGTTGAACTCTGAATTATGAATTTTTTATATCATTTTTGATAACGAAGTTTGTTTCTATACGCTTTAGCGTAACCGATTAATTTCAATTAGCAATATTATCTAGTATTTTTGATATAACTTTATCTATTTTCAAATGATTAGATAAGTTAAGAATCAAAATTATAATCTTAAATATACTATTTGCATTACTATAAGTAAGAATTGACCAAAAATGATCTTTTTTAAATCAATTATCCATACTGACTTCATTGGCCGATATAACTACTTAAAACAAAACCATTAAATGCCATTCTAAACAAATTTTCAGTTCGAGCTTGTAGTACTTTTCCCAGATTTGAAAATGATCCATTTATTTTCTTGTTTTAAAATGAAATATTATTACTACTATTCTCCGCTTCGCCCAGAGAGGGGCATAGAGCTTCTATAATTCTTTTAAATTTGACTCAATTTGGCGCTTCTCTGTAGATGTCGTTCCCATATAAATCGTGCTTCAGCTAGCTCACTTTCGGTCGTTCTTTTCCATATTTTTGCTAGCACCCCAGTTCTTCTGCTACTTTGTAGATTCCATGGCAAAGCTTATCTCGCTATGTAGCTTGTCAATGAAATCATTTTTGTAATAACTTTTTTTGATGCTATAAAGTCCTTTATTTAAACACCTGAGCTGTATTTCACTTTATAGTTTATGTTCTATAAGTTAATAACTGTGTACAAAAATCAAATGTGTAAACTTTTAGATTTACAATTTGTAGAATTTTTTTATGATTTCTTACTTAACAAAATTTTTTATTAGATCAGGCATTGCCATAAGTAAAAATGTAAAGCTTTTTGCTTTTTAACACAGTTAAAAAAATTGTTTAAAAAGTTTTTCAGCTGAAAAATGTTTCTCGGCGGTTAAACCATACACAATAATATAAATATGTATCACAGGCAGACTGAGGGTGTTGAGGATCAGTGCAGAAAAGTTTTTGACGTTCTTTTCTAAATTAAAAAACAAATTCTACCACTGATAAATGTAAAATGAAATGTTGCAAGAATACAAAGAAAAATGCAACATGAGGTACCGCATACATATTTGGAGGACATCCGTAACGCCGGTTCCGGTATGACTTTCCGGTATACTACAGATGCACGTGAATATACGAAATATGGAATACATATGTACTAACGTAACAAATTAACAAAATGCGAAATGAGAATTTTTTTTGGTATAAGTTTCACGTGAAATGCGAAATATGTATTTCATACAGAAATCAATAAAATGCGGATTGTAGAAAACATAGCTAAGATGACTCTATGATAATACGAAAAAATACTCATCATCAATATTTTAAGATATTTTCAATAAAATTAGCTCTATTTAGAGTTAATTAAGAAAAATATTTTTGTTATGATTTGTGACAAAAAATGTTCGATTCTAATCTCAATATCGTATATAGTTTTTTGCGTGATTAATTTTTAAATATGTTATGTGTATTCATATCTGTAAAATATTCGTATTAAAAATATATTTCCTAGTATTTACTTAAAAAAAATATCATACAATGAAAATTAGTACCGCTTTCCTCTATTTAACACACAATTTTCAACTTTATTGCTCATTGTCTATTAAACAAATCTTGCGTAAGTATGCCTTAATATGCTAAACGCAGATATAGAGGCTAATGTCATGTTTACATCTATTTAAATTAAATAGCATTTCAGCAAAAACATGACAAATGTTTCATTCTGCATGAAATTATGTTACAACCAACCAAATTTATATTCGGTTTGGGGCTTGTTAACATAAAACACACATAAAACATTCAGAAACCCAACGATGTTATTTGATGCCGGTAACAGCGCTAACCGAACCAATCTATGATGATTTCTTCTCACCAAAAGCGTATGTGTTCGAACAGGTTTGAAGGATGCGCTTTGTGTGTGAAGTTGAGTATAATTTAGAAACATTGTTATATCAAAACTTTATTTATATAATAAATTTTAATAAATATATATTTATTTTGCATTTTTATATTATACAATGAGTATAAAATATAAAAATAATTAAATAAAAAAATGTTAAATTATGGTTTCATTATATTTGTCAAACATTTCGTTGCACTGTAAATCTAACAGTATTGTAACATTTTGATGTGAGATGAAAGAATTTCTATCAGAGAATTGCGTAAACTGGAATAGAATCTTCGAAGATGAATTCTCATTCTCCTTAACTAATAAATCTGTGTATATATAAAGAATATTAAAATACACAGAGTAGAGTCTATTTCCAATAAGAGAGTTTCAATAACAGAACAGTTATGTTCTGATGATTGATACATTAGTTAAGATTATGTTGCTCAACATTAGTGTTTCTTTAACGAGTTGGCAACATGTATGAAGGAAGCACGCACAACGCAAAGCAAAAATATAGGAAATCAAATAGAACAACAGAAAATAATGAAGCAAAATAATGAAGCAAAAATTGCCCTCAATTTATTTTTAATTAATATTTTATTGTTTCCATTTAGGTATATATAAATTTGAACACAAATTTTTATAAATTATTAATAATAACACAAAAGGAAAACATTATTATTTTCATTTGTTCATATGCAGTAATTGGGGAAAATATTTAGCATTTATAATAAAGCTTCAAGCTGTTGTATGGGATAAAGATAAATAGCCATAAATTTTTCTAATATTTTATTATTTAAATTAAATGTAATATATAATTAATAGCGACTGAAATTTAAATGTAGTACCCGGAAATTATAAGTACATGTTGTATTAATAACTTAAATGAGTAATTATGCTTATTATATTCAATTTGCTTCCGGCAATATAATCACTATTCTCTGCTACATACATCATAAACGGTTCCAGATCCTATGGGATTAGTACTTAAAAAAACAACGCATAAATTATTTTGTTTTATAATTTTTCTTTAATTAAAACAGCGCTGGAAATGCTCAATGAATCCAAAAGTATCTTTAAGATGTTGATTGAAATCTTTTCTATAATCGGGATGGTATCGAAACGATTTCGTTTCATTGTCAAATTAAGCTTGCGGTATTGTCAGAAGATACCTAAAGCCAAATTTGGTGAATATGGAGGATAATTGACGGGGATGATACCTTTTTTGATCAGAGATTCGCTAAACCATAACTCCCCCATGTCAATGTTTTGATAGAACTCTTCGAAATAACTCTCAGTTGTTCTAGATAATATTCTGCTGATGGAGATCAGTTTGGGATGAATTCACTGTCAATAATTGTCTTTGAATCAATGCAAATGCTTCAAAATAGTACTGTATGGTTTTGCGCTCATTTGGTAGAATTCGTCACTAATTACAATGATTGACTGGTTTATAGTATTTTCGGACATTGTTGAATATCTTGCATTTACCCACACTTTTTAGTGTAGAGTGTGTGATATTAAAAGGGCACAGAATTTTCGTTTTTTTAAGTCTTCAACCAAACTTTGATAAGCTGAGATCTTCAGTATCCCAATTTCCTTCTCGAAACGTCCGACAGGTACGAAATAAACTTTGAAACGAAATACAACATTTGGTTTATTTTAAATTTTGTTTTCTCGACTGACGTAATATTTGAAAATTGACAGTCAGTAGATAAAGATCATCATTTGCTCAGAAATGTACGTTAAGAGTTTTTATGAGCCAGTCTTATCGCACTAACATTGTATATATTTCAGTATTTTACTTACTCTCAAAAATGTTCTTTAAAACCCGGTCTGAAGATGGCTCTTAGTTATTCTACCGAATTCTCTTTTATTTCAACAATCACTTCAACCGTCAATTCAAATTTTAGAGACTAAAATATGACAAGTTTTCGGTGATGTTTGAAAATTATGTGCCTGGTATTACTCTTTCGTCATACTTACTGGTACATTAGATAAAAAAAATTTTTAGCAAGCTCAGGACAGTTTTGTGAACAATTTTTTTCATAATTGATATATCACTGGCTTATACTTGATCAGTTTTTATAGACAATAATTATATCTTCGATTTGTGTAAACTCTTATATTTTTATATTAGGTTTTTTATGACGATAGAAATAGAATATAAAGACTTAATTCAAAGACGGTGCGGAAGTCAACGTTGAAATCAAGAACCCATAATTTTTTTATTCTGATGTATGACAAATAACATACTGCCATCTTTAGGGTGAATATATATTAATAGTATAAGTCCTTAATTTGTTATTCTCAAAATCACCTGAGCATTAGTGTTATTCTGCTCATATAATTAGATTAAATTGTAAAAAAATTGTACATCACTCTATGAACTCCCATCATATGAATCATTATGTCACCTTTTTTATGATTGGGGACTAAGAGTCCTGTTATTGTTATTCTTTTGTAAGTCTTGAAGTTATTTAATAGCATAAATGCTTAACACTTGGTCTTTAGAGGAACTTAGAAAAATTTGTATAGTATCTGTACTTGGATATGTAGGTAAGATAGCTAGTTACAATATGGTATCTAATTTAAATTACGATTGATATGATTTTAAGTATATCCAGCACAAATATTTGCAGATATTTGCGGATAAATATTTGCTGTGATAAGGAAATGTCTATGGAACACCTGATCACGAACTAAGATGCACTAGGCTACAAGAAACACAAAATTTTAGATGCATACGTACTAACAGATGTTCTGTGAAATAAAGGTCTGAATAATCAATTCTTTCTTTAGATTTATTTGTGTTGTTCTAGTTTGTATTGGTCATAAGATGTGACTAAATCAATATATTTGTTGTTTATTAATATGTATTAATTTTTGTTTGTCAGATATTTGGTAATCGAATTTTGAGTATTCTACTAAATGACCTTCTTATGAGTAACTCAACAAAACATTTCAAACAAATATTTAAACTTCACGTATTAATCATTCTACATATTAATCATATCAAATATTAATAATACTATAATTTATTGTTGAGTAAAAATTTTTAGTTTTTATCCGAAAGTTTTTTATCTCAGTTGTTTTTGTCACATCGTCATATTATGACGATTTTCATACCAACTTTTTTCCACAAAAGATTTATTCGTTTCGGTATCAGATTGAAATACTTGGCTATAAATTTTTAATGTTATAGTATCACATCCTTTGCTAAATTAAGTTATTTTATTGTTTTTATTAATTATTAATTTCACATTTAGGTTAGTAAAAAAAAACTTTTAAAATTACTTTTTGTTTTGTTCAAAGCATCAAAATGATTAAAGATTAAATTTTATTAATAGTAAGAACCTTCACATATACAGCATCTATAGTATCCGTTTGGTTTTCTTGTTGGTTTTTGGCTCATGGATTGTATACACTCTAATGCTAGGTTTGCATTGGCTTAAAATACAATTCTGTTAAGAGTCCAGTGAGGGAGTATGGGTGGTTCCATGTTATAAACAAAATCAAATTACAAATATTTAATTGTCACTAATTTAAAATTTATTATTTGTGGTGAACAGTTGTGTTTCACCAATTTGTATTTGCTCATTAGTGTTTAATGAGTTTAAGTGACAATTTGTTAATTCAATGATTTATAAGTTTTGCAAACAGATTGTTATAATAAAGAACACATATTTGTGAGCTGAAATAAAACATATTTACATTGTTTTATTTTATTTCTTACATTTCATTGGCTTAAACTCATTTCTAGTTAATAAAAGCGATAATTTCTGTTCAGGACAACTTAACTAATTAATACGACAATACTACACAAGTAAGTAATACAATAAATATTGATATTTTTGATCGCGATTTTCATCGTTTACAGCGACTTGGACCGTGCAATAATTTATTAAGAATTTCCATATATATTCCATATAGAATGCGTTGATAAGGTTACTTCCACTTTTGGCGATAAAACTTCATCTTTCGCAACTGTAAGATGCTAATACTCCAAGTTTGACCATAGATGTTGATTGTACAAAAAAGACATTTCTAGAGGTTATCAGTTATCAACTGATATCGAATTCAGTTATTGAGGCAAAAAATATTGGGACTGGGTAAAAATTAATGGAAGATCTTCATGTGACTTACTGTGAGATTTACATGGGAGAAATAGTTTTTAGCATTTGATCTAACATAATTTGATATAAACTCTAAAAATACTCTTATCGATTGGTGGGAAGAAATGTTTAAATGCAATTAAGATTGCAACAAAAGATCATAGATTTAGTCGAATTTGTGCTTCGATTCAATTTTTTTTTTTTTGGTTTTGCTTCCTTTTATTTATACAACTGCCAAGATTTGTCATCTAGTATTCATTTTTACACAATGCACTTCAATATTTTCACTACACATACAAATTTTTGTTCACAAATAAAATTCGAATATAATACGTTTTTGCTTTCGAACATAAAAACCTGACCAAAAGCTAGCTAGTGTAAACGCTAATTTTCAAAATGTAGTCATCCTAGAAGTATATTTCCTTTAATATGTTTGTGTGGAATATAGCGATTATTTGTTGTGTTAGTCGGAAAACATATTTCAAAAAATAAAAGCCTAGGTTAAATTTTATGGAGTTCTGTGTCTTAGAGAGGTTGAACATACCAGTTTAAAAAATTTTTAAGTAAATTTATTTTGGGTTCGGCGATTTTGAAATATATGTTATATTTTTTTTTTAGCCTAAGCTAAACTAATTCATACGTGTTAGGTGTATCTATAAATTTAATGAGATTAGTATTTTTTATAAAATATTCATAAATTAATTACAAGTTTTTATAGTGGAATTTATTAAATTAATTTCAACATAAATTTAGTTTTAAATTTATATAAAATATAATTTGATAAAACTTTACTGTGATGGCACCAACTTGAGTCCAATGAATTTGTACGTTATCCGTAACGTTACTTTGGTAGCAGATGGTAACGGAAGAGGGCCAAACAAAGGCTGCCATTGGCAACGCGGCACAAACAAATAATTTGTGAATAAATAATTTAGTTCATGTTAACTTAAACAGTTTTGTGCAAATATTTTAAACATCAGTGCACATATTTATTTGGAGTTAAAAATTAAATATTTTTATTTGCATCTAAACGTTGTGTATTGAAATTGCAATGAGTGCCAAAAGCTCATTAAAGGGAAATGATAATTTCACAGCAACCCGTCCGCCAATATCTGCTGCAAGCCGTCCACCAACAACTCAACTATTTTCAGTGAGCAATTTAATACGAATATAAAAGCATAATACTTGCTCTTGTTTACTAATTTAATTTACTGAATTTTAATTAAATTTAATTAGCGAGGAAATTTAGTAAGTAGCCGTTTGGGAGGCGATAAAACTGTTCTGGCACGTCCTTCCACTGCGGTCCGTGCTGTTGGGTATGCAGCTAATAGTGATTCGGCTGGCCAACGTTTTAATCAACTTTTTCTGGAGAAAACAAAACAGAAAACACTTTCGGCCGCAAATGCAGCAGCAGAAGCAGCAAAAGAAGTGAAGTAAAGTACAAATTAACAACTTCAAAGTTGTGAAGCATTTTTCATGCAAGTCTATTATTCAGTCCACAGATTAAATACAAAAATCTTGAAGCGAAAATAGTTAAACTTTTAGAAACCTCAATTATTTTAACAGCACAAAGTAGCGTTGTGGCCAAAGTCGTGGGCGCCGAAGGCAGTTCCGGTTTAGTAAACTCCGAAGCTAAAGCAGTATTAACTGAAGCCCTGAACAAAGCCAAAGAAGCATTTTCGTTAGACAGAACATTGCATCGCTTCCGAGATCAGCATGGTGAAAATATATTTCATAATTTTGACTTGACGTATGCGGTGAGTTCAAAAAACTTATAAAAACTTTTAATATATAATAACATATGACCAGAATAGGTTATTTTTTCATTTATTTATTTATTAGTGCAATCAGTTTCTTGAATTAGTATAATTAGTATAATTTAACATAATTAAAAAATCTAAAATTTTATTATGTTACATTCATTGACAAGCCTTTACTTTGAAAAGAATTATAAAAAGTTTATAGTTTTTTAATTGGCCTTCTCCTTTTTAACCTCCAAATCAAGTCTCTGTATTAGCTGATTTTAGCTGATTTTAATATATCAAAGAATTGAAAATAAATTATGTTTTTCAAATTCTTTTCTATAATATTCACTATGAAACTCTTTTGTGCTAACTATGGCTTCGAATCAATCGTCAAACTAAGTTGTATGATACATAATGTAAACTTGCAAAATCTTCATCTCCTCATGGGAACAACTTTTTTCTCACAAGATTGACAGTATCAGCGGTCTAATATTTATTGGCATTGATCTTGTCTTATAAATCGCTTGTACCCACAACTCAAATGGGTCTGATGACCGGAAGGTCGAAATGAAATTTAAAATGTTGTCCTTTAATCGTTGTTAATTGGCGTGTGCTTTGTGTGATAATGAAAAATCTTGTTAAAATGTTGACTCTATTTCACCTCAAAATTTTTTTCCTGAAACACATTCATATTAAAGGCTTTCCAAAAGTACAAATGGATTGCGAATAATAGCTATAACAGTCGCCCAAATCATCCAAAACAGTAGCGCTTATTTTTTTACGTCCATTTAAATGTGTAAATTCTCGTAAAGAGACTAAATTCTCTTTTCGTTATGTTATGCGATATTTGCAATTGACTGTGTTCGCTCCGATGTTTGCTCTATCTTTTTTTAAAAAATCTTTTATTAAATCTTGTTTAATAAAAAATATTTGCGTCGAATGCGAGTCTCTTATCAAATAAAATACATTTCACCTATTTAATGAAATCTAAAAAGTATTTTTGAAACAGTTTTTGAGTGTCAACAAGGTTAATATCCTTCCTCTGTGCCTGAGCAAGCCCCAGCAGTCGTACAGTATGTTACAAGTTGTTTTGAACTCCTTCAGCGCCCTATAACTCCCCTTTTTACATACAACAAAAGCACTGTCAGGATAAATTTGAATTCTAAATAACTAACTATATACTTTGATTATCACAATGTACATTGTAATACAAGGTGATGTATTGTTCGTTTAGGAACGATCTTATATCAATATGTAAAGTATAGAACACTCAATCAATAACTAACGTACTATGTACACAAGGTATACGAAAAATATTATGTATTTTACTCAATGTTGGCGCAATTGAAAAATCGAAGAATTGTTAGAGATATATTTTTAGGACATGGCGGTCTGGGTGGTCACTCAATCTTGTCTGCCCCAAACGTCGTTGCTGTCTGAAATGTTATAGGTATAGTTTAGCTTTTCAATTTCTATCGCATAATCCATCAAAGTATTAACTATTAAGTCTTATTCTGTTAAAGTTTAATTTACAGATGAAAGTATATATAAACAATCATTAAATAAAGGAATGCCATGTCTTTTGCACAAATTTTACCAATATTATTGATCCTTTCAGGTATTTTTCAATTTAGCCAAACAATACGAGAATAATGACATGCACGTGGAGTCCCTAAATATTTACAGTATTATGACAAAAAATAAAATGTTTCCTCATGTAAATCAGCTCAAATTGAATATGGGAAATATTTACTACAAAATGGGCATATATCCTAAGGCAATTAAAATGTATCGAATGGCTCTTGACTCGGTACCAAATAATCTTAAGCAGTTACGTCTTAAGATTACGCAAAATATTGGCATTTTATTCGTGCGAATGGGACAATACACAGACGCCGCTGCGAGTTTTGAGTTTGTGATGTCGGAACGCGCAGATATCCGAAGCGGTATACATTTGATTTTGTGCTATTATGCTCTGGGAGATGTAGACAAAATTAAAAGTACATTTCGTAATATGTGCGATGTGCAACCCATGGAAACAGATAATGAATTAGAAAATGAAAATAATCTCATAAAGTTACAGCAACATGCGGCCTCTGAACAGCAAAGGGATTTTAAATCCACTCCGCCGGCAGAAGTGCAGTTAATCAATGATGGACGAGGTTTCGACACTGGTATGAACGACAATGATACGAATCCCATGGAAAACGGAAATAGTAACAACGATGCGAATAACTTTAAATATCGTTATATACTACAAGCGCTTAAGTCCGATGAGTTGGCAATTTATACGAAACAAAATAAAAATAATGATAAGCGTGCAATCACAATGATAGTGGACTTAATTTCACCAATTATCGAGGAAAACTACAATGATGGTAAGTACTTTCATAATATAAGGATCATGGCAGGGCAGAGGCGCTACGCTAATGGAAAGGTGAACTTTTGTTTTTATAATTTTGTGAGCAGATGGCACTAATCTGGTGACATCAGTCAAGTACAAATGACTTCATAATTACTTTTACATTCAGGTTACAACTGGTGTATTGAAATAATAAAAACATCAAATTTATCCTGGCTGGCAAATGAATTAGAATTAAATAAGGCGTTAGTGTATTTGCGACAGAATGACGTCAATCAAGCAATTGAAACGTTGCAAATGTGCGACCGGAAGAGTAAAGGATTCATGACAGCAAACGCGCTCACTAATTTATCATTCATTTACATTAACGTAAGTTTTTCCAAATTCATTTATCACAGAATTATTGTAAATAAATCTTGTTCTGGATTCATAATTATTTTTATGGCATGGTTACTGCGAAAAATTTTATTAGTTTAATTACAACACAAATTGTCCCACAAGACATTTTTGCTCAACAAATTACAACAGTCAGCTCAAAATAAATTATGATGTGTCAATAGATTGAATTTTGATTAAATGATTAAGTTAGACAATAAGATCCTTAGGGTTCAAAGGAAAATAAGTCAAATTTGTCAAAAGTTGAACTGTATTAAAAATTAATAATTTCATTACGGCTCACTGACACTACGAATTTCGTCCTTGTTGTTATTTTTATTATGAAATAAAAGTAACTTAACATTTTTGTATTTCATCCAAATAGTTAAAATAGTGATAATACGAGTAGTTATTTTTGGAATGCGTTGAATTAAAAGCATGCGATGCTAGGTTTAAGCCCTAATCCAACTCAAGTATGTGTTATCTAAGTTTAATTTAGATTTAAAAATAATTGACATACCTTACAATATACTTTGATATTCACAAAACTGAAGTTAACTGTACTGATATACATGTGTGAGAACAAAAAGATATGTGTAATCAAGGAAGTTTCCCAGAAAATTGAGGATGGATCTATTCTCTTACACTTCAAACACCTATCTACCCTTACTTACTTAGTTGGCCATTACAGACGTGTGTCGTCGTTGGCCGCGTCGAGTAGCCTCCGCCAACAAATCGTTGGTTACTTGGTCCTTCCACCGAAGATGCGGACGTCCTCTACCGCGTTTTCCACCTGCGGGTACCGAAACAAATACCTTTCTAGCCGGAGCACTTTCTATCATTCGCACGACATGACCAAGCCAGCGTAGCCTACCTACCCATAACATATAATTTATTCGTATCGACAAATTATAAGTGTGCAAACTGGATACTTAATGTATACGATTAAATAAAAATAATTATAATATATACGTATAATTATATTTTAAAATTTTAATTATTAAGTGAACATGAAATTAACAAATAAATGATAGTGATAAAACAGTATGCTAAATATTCCAGAGTCTTTTAAAGAATACCGTTCAAAATTTAGAGCAGAATTTATTTTAAATTTTTGAAATGAACAAAATTAAATAAAGAATATTTAATGTACTACTTCGTGGACTTAATAAAGGATTTGTAATTATTCATAATAGCGATGATTTTGTTTGATTCAATATTAAATCAAATTAATCAAACACTTAAAAATTAATTTAACAAAATAATCAACGTTATCACTACTAAAAGAACAAAAAAATATAAATATGTAAGAAAAAAATGACATTTACTCTTCTATTAAATATTTTCAATTCTAAACAAGTCAGGTTTAGCGATGCAACGAAGAGTTATTAATACAATCTCATAACATATTTATTATTTGCTTATACAAGTACTAAAAAAATACATAACTTTATTTCGTCACACATTGCAAATGTTACACTGCATATGAATTATCTTAATAAATTGAATATATGTCACAAAGTTTATTTACAAAGTGAACTCCTTCACTCTACACATGCAAACATTGCAGAAAACCAGCAAAAATAAAAAACGGTGCAACCTAACAGCACTAAAAACGGGCAAGATAATTGCCATTTAAAAAAAATTTCAAAGGCGATTTGATTATGAAAATTAAGTTCAATGAGTTGTGACTCAGTTACCAAGCATTGAACTTTACGTTAACAGCATCATACAAACAGTTTTTGACAATATCGTGCTTAATCTTCAGTTATGTAGCTCTGTTACACTACTCACAAAACGGCCTTCTTAACTCTTATCAGCAATGTCATTGATTTTATGGTTGCAAACCAACTAGACTATTATGCATATTCCAAAAAAATAAATAAACCAGCTAAAAGAAATTGTTTGAAAAATTATATATTTTTTTAAACCTAGACAAAAATTCAAATTACTTTTCCCTTAATCCGATATAACATAAGCCTAATTTAAACAGCCAAGAAATACTGCCATTTAGAGAGTAAACTATACTAATGTCTTACTTTCTATAGAATCGTAAGTAGTTGCAGAACTTCTACTTAAAAATCATATTAAGGTTTATTAAAGGGTCCTCAAGTTTTTTACGGTAACGAATTAGTCCAAATTATTCTTATTAAACCCTTAGTACCTCTGTAGAGACTTAATTTAACTTTTAAGCTATTATGTCTTTACTTTAAATACAGGTACAGGTAAAGAAATTGGGAATTTCTCTTTTTACTGGTTCTTCTTTCATTATTAATTTGAACATACATAGTTTATGTAAATACTGGACTATAGTTTAAACGTTTGTGTTAAGATCTTAAGCTTCTATTGAAATATGGAATAATAATAATAACATAAGCATTTTTTTCTTTATATATACTACCCTAAAACCTAAAAAAAAAGCTATGACCTTACGTTTTTGAGTAAGCCCGATATAATATATGGGATGCTTATCCGCTTTATCAAAAACTATATATTTTGCACTATATAACCACTTGATTATATAGTTTCCTCATTTACTTGCTTGTATTATTTTATTCATATCATAAAAACTTTGATAGTTGGGGAAATCTGTGTTATTCTTATTAAAAAAATATGCCACAATGCTACTGTGGTATGAAATAACATCTAAAATTATTATAATACAGAGCAATATTGTAGAAGAATGCTCTTTGTTAACAAAGGCATAGTGTCTACATAATAGATAGTATGTTTTACACTGAAAACGTTTTGGAACACACAAACGAGTGTTAATTACTATATTTTTTCTTATTCCTTCTATTTTTCCTTATAACTATATATTTCATATTCTTACCGCTACTACTGCTGATGATGACATATTGTCCTTGATTTGAAAGAAGGCTGAGTGTCTTCTTTTCAATTGAGGTCAGGGTAACATAAAAGAGCTACCATAGTCTTCGCAGTACTTCACTTCATTGTGAACCAGTGTTCTATTTATTTCCACTCTTTTCTATTTTTTGCTAATTATCTTATAAAATCTTATAAAACATATATTCGTATATCGATATGTGGGTTATATTTCGAAGAATATTATTTATTAAAATAAATATTACACTTTTGATTCTTATATAGATGCATATTTTATTTTACAATGTGTATTAAATTTTTATATTTTTTATATTTATTTAACAAACATCTAATTTATATTGGTATTGGCAATTGAATAAATCTGAGACATTAAATCTAAAAAGTAGACTAAGTCAATTTTTATGTATTTTAAGTTAACAGTCAAGCAATATTTTTTATAGTGCATTTTATTTTATTATTTTTGCTTTGTACAGATGTTGACATTGCACAAGTGTCAAAGAAACGTGCCATGAAGGTCGATATTAAAATTAGGTTTTTTTACCATTTTACCATTACCAAGTATTTTTTTCTCCGCCACTTTAATAGGAATACCTTTTTGAAACAAGATATTTGTGCCATTGGAAGGAGTATTGGAAGGAGCTTCAACTAATTTTAGGTTCATTTTAGAGTTTTCCGCAATACACTTCAAGCTTCTAATTTCATTTATTTCAAGCGTTTGTTCTGCTTCCTTTGCTCTGTGTTGAAGTTGATAAAGTACATATCTAGATGATTTTCTCATCCCATGGGCACGATGATAGGATTAGTTTTTATGTATTGTCAGCGTGTGTCTTTTATGGAATTTAATTTATCTCTATAATTGTTGCGTTGTCTATAAAAAGGAATTAGTGTGCATTTATTTCGTTCAATTCGGAGTGTGCAAAATATAATTTCGATTAATTTCTTCTTATAATCTTCAGCTTGGAAATTTAGAAATGGCTACGCATTGCGTTAATCAATTAAATGAAATCGGCGCATTAAAAAGCAATGCCATGGCTTTGAATAATGCAGCTATAATTGACACTAAGATGAAGAATTATGCTGCAGGACGACATAAATTAGAAAAAGCACTGGAAATACAACCCGATAACTTTGAAGCAAATTACAATTTGGGTTTATTGGGCGTAGAAGCAAATGATTTAGAACTGGCAAAGGCGCAGTTTGAGTACTTAAAAACACAACATTTGATTCCGCAATCTGTACAACATAGCCATGTCCTTTATCAGTTGGCACGAATACAAGAAAAAATGCTTAATACAAAAATGGGTGTTGATGGCATAAAAGTATCCATGCCGACAACATTACAATCCTATTTACAAGTGCTTGGTGCCTCAGTAGCAGAAATCGATTCCCGACTCTTTGAGAAAGTTGGCACAATGTATGAACAACTTCAGGACTACCAGGAAGCCAATCAATACTATCATGAGGCCTATCGTATCAATCCCAGTGATATAAGCATTGCTAACTCGATCGGTTCGTATTATATAAAACTGCAGGCAACTGAAAAAGCAATATACTACTACGAACGAGCCGTGTTAGCAGATCCAAATGATCCGAGTTTGATGTTGCGCATAGCCAGCTGTTTTCGCAACTCATACTTGCCACCAAAGCAATATTTGGAAATGTTTGAAAAAGTATATAACCGTTTTCCGGAAAATTTAACATGTGTGCGCTCTCTGATGCAGGTCACTAAATCTATGGGCATGACCGAGTTATATGAAAAATATACATTAGAATATGAAAGACTACATCGTTTGCAAATCGAACGTCAAAATGAGAAACGTTATCAACAGGAACGTCTAAATTCAGCTGCATCTGAGAGAGCAAGGCTTAAATGTAATATTTTCAAAAATTATTTGAGGTTCTAATTATTGTTCATTTACAAATACTTATACTTATAGCAAGCAGAAGTAATATTGAAGATAGTTCACCAAAACATAAAATGTTGCAAAGTTTTGATTCGACTGGTAGTATTACATCAAAATTCAATGGTGAACGCTATTTGCGAACAACAGGTATGTTTCAAATGGATCAATTCTAATAATTAAAGTATATTTTCAATTCTATAAATTGTTTTGTACTCTCACTTTTCTATCTTCAGTCCCCTGCAGGAAAGATTTTAGAATATTTTCGACGTAAGGCATGCCTGTCGTAAGAGGCGAATAAAATCCCGGCGCCATTCCGACACTGTTTGAAGTGTGAGTGGTAATGAGTCGGATTCACTTGCGACACTCACAGATTCGGCTGTTCTAACCAATTGAAGTTGGCAGTGTCGTAATGACTGTGGTTATATCCAAACTTACGTAGCAAGAATGATTGTATTTTACTATCATTCGGCATAGTATTGAGTATTTACACCGATTGCTAACACCCAAAATTCAGCAGAGGTTGGATGGGCCTCATTTCTTACCAAGGGGGAAGTTTCCAAACATATACCTTCAGTTGGTGCCGGCGAAAATTCCTTGAATTTTCCAATGGGGCGTTTTTTTGGCGCATTATCCTTATACATGTGTTTTTTAGAACAACGTGATCTTAAGCTTTTAAGGCAGGTAACCAAACTAAACAACACTGCATTCTTTCTATCCTCAGATATAATAGTGAGAAACCATTGGATGTATTACTTAACAGCCGGAATTTTTTTCTTGAAAAATGCTTCACTTTAGTATATGTAAAAAAATATATATATTGTTCAAACTATTGTTCACAGAAAACGACCACATTTTTCCAATTTTCTGTCAACTTATAGTTTTATTGTCAAAAACCGATCGGCTTTTGAGATCAAGAATGAATTGAATTAATTTTTAGTATTTTTAAAGGTAGGTGAATCATATGTAAAAGGGATTATTCAACCATTGGCCAAAATAGGTCGTAACCGGTAGAGACAAAGAATGGGATAACAATTCAAAATATTATGTAATGATTATAGTATAGTCACTATATAACTTCCACCAGCAATCATGATTATCGGCAGCAGTTTTCTTGAGAAAAAAGTCACCCAAAAAAATTTTCCATAAATTTTTTTTAATAATATTTAAAATTTAATTTTGTGGAAAAAAAATTTAAGGGCTTCAATTAGGCCCTACGTAGTACGTGTAGGGTAATACAATAGGGTATTACAGTGCACATTTACGCAAATTCACTGTCATTAAGTTATATAGCCCATACTTTATTGTAGCGCTATCGGTAGGATTTAATAATGTTTTATTTTTACAGGATTGAATTTTTTTGGTATTTAATACGCGTTATTCTTTTTAAATTAGATTATATTATTAATTTTTCATATTTTTACAGCTTATGCAGATCCAATTGGACCACTCGCTGAACGCCCACGTACTGGAATGCTGAAAAGTTCGTTAAGCAATAATTCAGATGACGAAGAGATGAACGCTGATAGCCTATTGCCGATCTAAGAATATCTAAGTTTAAGGCTTACCTTAAACTTCTTAAGATAAAATTAATACTTAGATGTTAAGAATTGAATTTTTATTTTTAATATTAATTTTATGAATGTATAATTTAATGTTATTACAATAAATGAACTGCAAATTACAAAGTTTCTGAGAAGTACTGGTACTGCTACCGGTGTGTTTACCTTCTGACTTATTGTACATTTATGCAATGCTCGTCCCATAAAAATACTTTATTTAATTTTGGTTTCAATTTGTTTAAATTCAACTGTCTGGAAAAGATTCTAACGAAAGTCGAACCTATTCGCATGAGGCATAAAATCATTAACTTTGTTCCGTAGAGCTGTACTGTAGTAAAGCATTCATATGCCAGGTGCTTTCATTTACGCATGTGAATATTTACTTTTAATTATAAAAATTTACAGAGAAAGTCACGTATTTAATTATAAAACAAAAAGTTAAAAACAATATACAATTGCATGCAATTTAGAAGAATATGAATTATGAATTTCAAAATAAAACTAATAATTTTGTTTATATTTTAAACATTAATTTCAATGAAATAAAACATAATTCTTTAAAGTATTACAATTATATTACACGTTTGTATGATATGTTAGTAATCTAAATCTGCTATTAAGAGTAGTAGTAAGATCTTCATAATAATATCTGAATTAAATTAGACCAATCTTCTTTGTTGTTTTAAGTTCCAAACAATTAAGCGATAGTTTAATAAGATCTATACTCAGATTTAAATAAGTTGAATTATTTTTCTGATATTTTTTTATACTTATTATTTAAAAACAAATAATAAAAAAAATTTTTATTTTTATGCTCATGCTATTAATTCACATATTAAATGATGACAATAGTGTATGGCCAAATGAAGCAAATAATATTTAAAATATTATAAAATTATATGAAATTTAAAGAGACTATAACTTTAACAACACTTGGATAGTAGAATACCGTATAAATAAAACATTGCTTCAAAATAAAATTGAGTAATGTTGAATAGTAACCACTATTTTTGGTCAATAAATAGTTTTGGTACCCATATATCTAGAAATACTAATCCGATTCGAACACATTCTAAGTTCTACTTCAATGAAGTTACCCGAAAAATGACAGAAGCTCATAAATAATAATGGAATAATATAATATAAATTTTAAGATTAATTTTGAATAAAAAATTTTCGATACAATCTTCCTCAATAAATAACTTTAATACACTTATTTTAATGATTATCCAATTCATCTAATTACTGTGATGGTTTTCCTAAAGGTATGTATAATACTTCACTATAACAGCTAGTACCACTTCGTTTAACAAAAAATGCTGAAAAACGAAATAATTTTATCAAATGTAAGAAGAGCCAGAATAAAATGTCAACTAAATCTGTCAACTAGATTGAATGTTTCAAATAATCTTCTTTTTATTCAGTGATTTCAGAAATTCACTGGTTTATTGAGCAGTTGCTTTGGTTGGAATTAAAATATTTCTTCCGTAAATCACAGAAGAATTTTCATCAGTGGATTTATATCCAATCGGTTCAAAGATTGTAATAACGATCTGAGTTTATTGTTTTCTTAGTAATATAGTATAAATTCCTCTTTTTAATGCCAAAAAAATTTGGACGCTTTCCCAAGCTCCTCTCGGAGCTAAAGAGCTGGTCGTACACTTCTTCTTAGCGTATTGTTTTGAATCACGATCCTGGTGCTCAATCAAAGTATCCTTAATGGTAATGAAACGATGCACAAAATACTTACTATCCTTACTATTACAACTATCCTTTAAGAGTAAATACTGTACACCGTAACTCTGTTTGTCATTAAGTCTCGCCGTAATTGGACTAGCAGATTATAAGGCTTTTAATGCACATCTTACTAAAACACTTTATATATTGGTGACAAAGTTAAGTTTTAACGACAAAACGTGGATAGATGTATTAGTTATTGTGTAGTATTAGGCTCACCGCAACTGGACTAACAAATTACAAGATTTTTAATGCATATTTTATTAAAACAGTTTAGATGTTTTACTGACAAAGTAGAATTTGAATGACAAAACGTATCACTAATTTTGTGGTACGTCTATCTGCTTTGTGGATAACTACCGACAATAGACAAATAGTGTTACTGACTCACCGGCACCGTAACTATGTTGGTCGTTATGATAACCGCAGAGTAGGATTCTAGTTTACATCCTTTCTAGAAAGTTTTAAATATCACACATAAAGTCGAATTTGAACTACATAATATAGATAGATCTGTATTATCAATTTAACGTTGTTAAATTGAGCTATGTGGATAGCTGTTTGTACTTGGAAGTATAAAGTCAAATACAAACAAAATGATTAAAATATATTAATATGTCAAAGTTTAAGTTCAGTTCTCATTAAGTTTTTATAAAAGTACTGAAAATGCAATATAGTATATTGAAAATATGTGTTGTAATGCTTAAATTTTTAATTTATTTTTTTATTTAAAATTTTCCAGTTCCAGTTCCTTTGATTCAACCATTTCTGTCCTTTCCACTTATTCAAAGCATTTCCAAAATAAGTTTCACTGCAATGCTATGCATTTAAAATGTAAATTGTATTGTCCATTTAAAGCTTTGGCATTTTGGAGTCATGAGAAGAAAGTGTCACAACGAAAGTGGAACAGCTCATGTAGCAGCTGGTGGCACTACCATGCGCAGCATTCAATTGTTCACAAACGCAATATTTTATTGTACTCCCATCTGCAATTGGACGAAGTTACTTTAATAATTTAAGAGATTTAATGAAAATCCGTGTTCCCTCGTACATTTAAAAGGACACTTCACCGACAAACAAAGCACTAGTAGAAGATTGCATAAAGGCTTAATCGACATATTTAGTGAGAGAATATGCGAATATACTATAGTATGTGTGGCTCTAAGCAAGCAAGAAAATACGAGTGAGTACCTTTCCGCAATGTGATGTGGTATTACGAGTACTTTCATGGGACCAATTAAATCCGCAAAATATTAAAATTTATTCCTTGACATACGTGAAAACTTTTGAACGACATAAGTTTAAATGGTTTTTATTGAAAGCATTTAATTTTACGAACTTACAATCAATAAACCCTTTGAACCCTTTTTTTGTTTGGCATTCAATGGAAAGGTAAGCTTTTTTGTGATTGTTTAAGATTATTTTATACTAAGTAAATGAAAATTGATTTATTTGATTCAAAAGGGAATTAAGATAATGAAAATGGGCATAAATGGTTTTATTAAATAAAAATCGATTCGAAATATTTTATTGAGAAGGGACCTTTGTATTCAAGTCGAAATTTCTATTCTTTTCCATGTAACAAACAGAAAAAAAAAGACTGGTAAAAGCTCATGCTTTTGTCTTGTTGACTTTTACTTTTGCGGTCATGTCCCTCAATTAATGACCCCAAGGAAATTTTGTTAAGGTAATTCTTCGATGTAAGCTGATTAAATCTAAATTCCATTCCATTGTGTGATTCTCTCCGTTATTGGTGTTGTCACGATGCCGCAACTTCGGTCAATTGTGTATAATAGCGCATTTTAAATAAAAGTCTTTAACATTTAAAATGTTTTGTAGGAGGGTAATTACGGAAATTTGTTTTATTCTTATTTAGAAATTCTAACAACTCTGTTATGTGTCGGCTGACACTTGAAACTTGATACTTCACAGTGTCGGTGTTAGGTGTTGTCGATGGCTGATAGCTGATGGGCTTGCGGTTGTCTATACATATATAATTAGATATAATACAGGTGTGGATTTACATATAATTTGATCTGATCATATATAAATGATAATGCATGGTTACAGAATAAACAGAAACAGAATATAAAAAATCTCTGTTATATATGATATGATATAATGATTAGATTAGATTTAGAAAGGATTGGGAACTATGTCACCACGTCACTGTGTATATGAGCAGTAGACTACAATACTGTACTGTACAGTGCCCTGTCGGAATTTATATAAAAACAGTTAAATTAGTTTTATATAGTTGCATACAGGGCTTAAGTCGCTGATAGCGCTGGTAAATCATTTCAGTATAGTTTTCTTTGTTTCTCCTCTCCTCTACTTTCTGAATAACTTCTCTTTATTACAATGGACCAATGGATCCACCAGGGATCGTCGATATAACCTTACCTAACTTCTCTTCAGTTGTCGATTAAATCTTTCGCTTTTTTCAGTTTAGATACTAATGAAGTATATACTTTTTCATTCATCTCAATTCATACCTGGTATCATTTTTACAATTTATTTTACAAAAACTGTGTTTGTACTTGAATTGAATAAGTAAAGCTATTATCGCTCTTCTTCTTGCATTATTCACTTCACAATGCACTGAGTATATTTAAGTTCTCTATATTTTTTTGGTTTCCTTTATTTATAAGACTACTACTCCTTTTTATCTTATATTTATCTTGACCATTTCAGAATACACTCTTCGCATTGGTTTCTGTGGTGTGTAAACAATTTTACTATCATTTGGGCAATTATACCTTCGTTTTTGCTCCTTTATTAATTTTCAAACGTTTAATTAATCTACATTGATTCATTTTTGAACTTTTTTTATCATGTAATCGTTTCCAGGATGTGTGTGGTATTGTCAAGAGTATGATTTTTGTCGATTTTCCTTGGTTTAAGTCCATTATGTTTAATGAAAACAGTAGAGCCTGGAATAAGCTCTTATGTTCCAGAATTGAATGCACAGTAAATGTTTATTGATAAAGGCAAAGGGTCTATATGCTCTTTAATGACGCGTGCCCACCTTCTTCATCAAAGGAAATGATTGGGATTTTTAGTGTAAATCTCTATTGAGAAATGATTTAAATTTATTTATTGTTTGGAAACTATAATAATTTTTTTTATATTTCTAGTTCATAGAAAATTTACTTGTGCATTTATAATTAATGAAATGGAAAATATTTAATAAAAAAATGAATGCTTAAAATAAAAAACCATTCATGTGTTCATCATGTTTTGTGAGTTTCCACCGGCGTATAATTTCTCACTCAATATTGATTAAAATTTAATAATTC